GTGATTATGATGTGAGAAGGCATACAAATGGATTGGAACGCTAAAATTGTTTGTTGTGAATGTAGGATTTGATAATTGAAAATATGATTTCTTGCCATTTCTGAGTGTTTTTTTCTTCTTGAAATTTATGTTGATTTTCTCAAATTATTTTGAGGAGGAAGAAGGACAACAAAATAAGTGAAAGTATTTAAGCTTAAAATTTATGGGCGCTAGAATTCACTTTTTGTTTGTGACATTGTCAAATTTATTTCACCATGTTTAAGTTTGGAAAATGGTAGCCAAAAAATGGGGAAGAAGAAGAAGTAAAAAAAAATTAAAATTTGGTAAAATGAGGCTCTCACGCGCGTCTAGTGAGTGTATCACACTTGCTATGCCATCTCAGCAGAAAGTGTCAAATTGACACAGTTGGGCGTGACATGAGGTGTCTAAAATGAACAAAGCCTAGTTCAGGTGTCTAAGTGAAAAATCGTGCCAAATTTAGGGGGCCACCGATGGGTTAGCCCTTTATAAAATAATTGATATCAGAATAGACCGATCAACAATAAAAATTTTAAATTAATCAAATCAATAAATTTCGAATGTCAAAACTAAAAGAAAAGAGGGAAGAAAAGGGTCATTTTTTTCTACGATTGCCCCACGGTAAAGTGTGTACAACGTGCTACTAATTATTTTCATGAGTAATTATTTTCATTTTTCTTATTTTCTTCAAATGTCCCCTTCAATGGACTTAACTTTTATTTATTTTTCAACTTTCATAGACTTATTAATAGTAGGAATTTGGTAAGGTCTCTTTCATTTTCCATAGTTTGTTGACTAAATTATTCTAAATTTCCATGTAACACGATTTTTTTAAAAAAAAATTATGTTTGATATTTACTTTGAATTCCACTAATTCGAAGTCACGTAAAATAATTTTTTTACTTTGAGAGATAAGGATATGATAGTAACATTATTATAGTTTAACGTGAAATACTCAAACTTGTTATATGTTAGAAATTATATATATGATATAATGTGTTAACACATATAGTTATGAGATTTTTATATATGAATAATCAGTTGGAGTTACCACATGCCTTTTTGGTCGATATATATAAATTATACATTAAATATATATAGTTATACACACATTATATATGGATTATGCAAAATTATGGCTTACTCCAATTGAACGTTTGAATAGGTGATAAAATATTTATATTAGACACTTTTGACTCAAATTTTGTAAAAATAAATAGATTTGTGTGCGTTTTCAAACGTCGAATGTGTATATAATTAATAACATAAAATATGTTTTATCTTTTAATTATACATATCAATATTAATTGAAAAAAGCTTGAGTTTTATGACTTATTTAGTCAAATGCTTATAATTGAAAAAACTTAGATATTTTAGATTATTAACTTATCTATATAATGGACGCGTGAGGACGCGTGCAAAAGTTTTTTAAAATTTCAATTGGAAGTATCTAATAAGAACACTTTATCGTGTGTTAAGGTTCTCAATTGAAACATGACGTAGTTCGACTATCTAAATGATATTTACTGACAAGTTTACGAGACAATCATTATATTCAAAATGAAAAAAAATTTAATCAGGTCACTCATGTGGGTCAATCAAGATCTATATAAATAAAATAATTAATATGTATTTATTATATATCTAATATTTACAAAAAAAGAAAGAAGGGAAAACAATGGTTACGAACACACTACAAGAAATCATAATTGTTGTCACCAAATATTAGCTTTTGTGATTGCATTATAAATGGTCTCTATTTTAAGTTTCACCATTATATTCTTGAATGTTTCTATTAAGAGTTACTATTTTGATAATTGTTATTTTCCTAACTGTTTTATATCTTTTAGTAATTATTAGTGGAGATTCAATCTCATTATGCTATAATCTAAGGCTAATTTCAAATATATACAATAAACTTATTAGTTTACAATAAATATAATTGTTTTCTATTTATATAAAAAATAGTCAAAAATAATATAGCTTGCCAAAAGTCATAAAAAGGATACACTGACTATACAATATAT